GGGGCCCTGGGGAACGGGAGGCCTAGTCCAAGGGTCCCCATATCACCAGCCCCACTCCCACCTAAGATACTATGAGGCCCCCTCTTCTTTCCTGGAACCTGGGGGACTCCTAGCCTAACCCCTTGTGTGGACCTCTTCTGCCCTTCTCTCCTGCCCCTGATGGCTGCTTTCTGCCCTCCGTCCCCACTGCAGATGGAGGACCTGTATGAAGACTTCCATATCGTGAAGCTGCCATTGCTACCACACGAGGTGCGGGGGTCAGACAAGGTCAACACCTTCTCTGCCCTCCTCCTGGAGCCCTACAAACCCCCCAGCGCCCAGTAGCACTGCACCAGCCCTCGCTGCTGCCATTCCACACCCACACTCCTCAAACGGGGCAGAGTTTGCACAAAGTCCCCCATAGTACTGGGGAGACCCATGGGGGGAATAGGAGGCGGGGAGAGGGGGTCTTTTCCCCCTGGTGGGGCTGAGGGGCCTGTGGTCGCCCCCACCTCTCCCTGTCTCTCGCTCCTCAATAAAATAACCTTCGACAGCTGTGTTTGTTGACACCGGGAGGCGCCGGTGCCTTCATGTAAGTTGAATGGGTCGCACACTGCACAAGAGCGTCCTGTCTAAAGGGGTCCAGAGACCTGGCAGAGGTGTGTGTTTATCCTGGCAGTTTTGGAGGGAGGATGTCTGGGGAGGGGGAGGCGCTTTGTTCTGGTTCTGAGTGGGTAGCCCCTGCTGGGGGCATCAAAGCCTGAAAATGGGACAGAGGAGGGCTGGAAGCTCAGAGTGTGGGAATGTGGAGGCCCCTTGGCCCGCCCCAGGCTGGTGGGGAGCGGATTAAGCCGGCAGTGGGCCCAGCACGGCCTGCTGTTTGGTTTGGGAATTAGTGGGCGCCCTGGGCTGAGGCTGGGCCTGCCAGACTGGGGATTAAGAATCTCCACCTCCCCTCCACACACACACCCCCACCGACCGCTGCCCTTCCCAGCAAAGACCTTGGAAGATGGAGCAGCTGATTAGGGGAACCCCATGGTAGAGGCTTCCAGCTGGAAGGGACCCCAAAGGCTGGACCCACTTCCAGAGGGGGCCCCCTGCAGCATGTGCCTCCTGCTTCTTGAGTGTTGAAAACGGGGTTCACCAGACACTTGGCACAGGCAGCTGGGAGGCACCTAGGGGGTCCCCTTGACCTGCCCCTCCTGCCCCTGCCACCTCCTGGGCAGCCGTGGTCATCTCTGCCTGGCAGACTCCAGACCTGGCATGACTTTGAGTGTTTTGCAAGTTCCAAGCCTGGAGCTCTTTGGGGGGGGGGGGGACAGACATAGGGGGGTCAGAAGACACATGACTCAGGAAGTGGTATTCAAGGTGTACACACCCAAAGTCTGGGCTTGCCTGGGTGTGCGTGTAAGGGGAACCCAGCCACGAGCCTGGACGCGTCCCCCCAACTCCACTCTGCAATGCTTGCGGGTGTGTGCAAGCAAACGCGTGTGGGCACGCTGGGGTGTGCATAAACAAGTAGGGGAGGTGGATACAGCAGAGATGAGGACCCCAGGCTCCGGCCTCGCTGCCTGACCAGATCCCAGCTGCTCCAGCAATCTGTGTTCTGAGCCAGGTTCCCTATTTGCTTATTTGGATAATGAGACTCAGCGCTCCATACTTTGCTCTGTGCACCAACAAACAGTCCTAAGCGTGAAGGAATTTTACGACAGCATCAGGCACTGACCTGCCAGAAACTGTTTGTTATTGTTTGATGTTAAGATGGATGATCAACCGTGAAGTTGTCAGGGCGGCCTGCCCACCAGTCTGGTGCGGGGGAAGGGGGGGTCTGAGATGGGAAGTGGGGGGTGGGGGGGATCTGGGAGAGTGGGGATGAGCAGGAATGGGAAGGTGAGCCCCAGCAAGGACAGGGCAAGTGCTAGCGCATGGGGACACAGCTGATGTGAGAATGTCCAGTCCTGCGTCTGGTGCCACCACCTCAGGTGACCCTCTTTTGTAGGGTTTATAGGCTGCCCAGCAGCTGGACGGCGGAGACACCGGTCTGAGGGTGGCCAGTCTAAGCCGGATTCTAATTACCCCGGGTGGGGCAAACATCTGCCAACCTGAGAACACAGTGTCCCGGCCTGCTGGGCCTTGGGTGGTGCTGAGTAGAGGTATCTGCCAATCCTAGCACACAAGGGGCGAATGCAAAGAGTTCATGAACATCTTGGGCACCACATACCACACTCCCCCAAGTTCAGACTGACCCCTGAACCTCTGTCCTCACCCCCATTCCCACGGGACTGTCTTTGGGGTTACTAAATAGAGTGGGGATGGGAATACCATATGTGCCAAAGAATGTGCCCCCCTTTCTAGGGGTGCCGGTGAAGAGTGAGCATCTGGACTTCTGTCCCCGAGTTTGTGTGTTCCTAGCGATGCTGGCTGTGTGAGGGACGGTGCGTGTCTAGGTGTGTTTGCATACAACACAGCAGAAGGAAGAGCTGGGGAGGAGCTGGCTTGATATGTGTGATGTGTTCACTTCCCTTAAACGTTGGTGGGTTTCACGAGCTTCTGTACATGGTGAGACGTTAAAGGAACAAAGTCCCTCATAGTGCGAATGACTTTCTTTTTTTCAGTGCTGGCGATGGAATTCCAGGTCCTTCTACCAGAGCTCCATCCTTAATATATTTTTTATTTTTTAGTCAGTCATGGGGCTTGAACTCTGGGCCTTGGCACTGTCCCTCAGCTCTTCAGCTCAAGGCTAGCACTCTACCACTTGAGCCACAGTGCCACTTTCAGTTTTCTGGTGGTTCATTGGAGATGAGTCTCATGGATTTTCCTGCCCCAGCTGGCCTTGAACCTTGATTCTCAGACCTAGCCTCTTGAGTAGCTAGGATTACAAGCATGAACCACGAGTACCGGCTTGAAAATCCTTTTTTTTTTCTTTTTCTTTTTGCTAGTCATGAGCCTTAAACTCAGAGCTTGGGCATTGTCCCTAAGCTTCTTTTGCTCACCTAGCACTTAAGCCACAACATCACTTCTGGCTCTTTCTGTGTATGTGGTACTGAGGAATCCAACCCAGGGCTTCATGCATGCTAAGCAAGCACTCTACCACTAAGGGAGACATTCCCAGCCCTGCATATCCTTTTTGCTTTGTCTCCTTTTCTCTCTCCGTTTTATTTCAGGCTTGAACTCAGAGCCTGGGCACAATCCCTTAGCTTTTTCACTCAAGGCTGGTGCTGTACCACTTGAGACACAGCTTTTTGGTGGTTTACTCAAGAGTCTCACTGGCTTTGAACTATTGACTCTCAGGTCTCAGTCTCCTTGAGAAAGGATGGTGTCCCATAGTTTTCAACACCCTGAATACATCTCTGTCCTGGAGAAAGCAGGACTCTGCCCTCTGTGTGAATGTGTGTGTATGTGAGTGTGTGTGAAGTAATTCTGGGGACTTAGTGGGCTCTGCTCACCCCACGTGTCTGTATGAAGCGTGGAATGGTGAGCTGAGCGTGCATACAGGATCCCTCTGCCTTAGAATCTACCTGTTGGGGTAGGGAAGAGGGCTAGGTGCGACTTGAACTTCAGAAGTCTTTCTGACAGCCTCTGTGTCACTATAATTGTGATAAGTAAAGCTGATTTTTTTTTTGTCGGTCGTGGGGCTTGAACTCTGGGCCTGGGTGCTGTCCCTCAGCTCTTCAGCTCAAGACTAGTGCTCTACCTCTTGAGCCACAGCGTCACTTCCGGCTTTTTTTCTTTTTGCTTATGTGGTGCTGAGGAATCGAACCCAGGGCCTCAGGCATGCAAGGCAAGCACTCTACCACTGAGCCACCTTCCCAGCCCCATGAACCTGGATTTCTATCTGGGTCTGCCATGTATATTTTCTGTGACTGTGATTACAGGTAAAGGGTCACTCCACCTCTCTGAGCTGCCCGCCTGTGTTTCTGGGAAGGAAAGGCCCCCCACCCTTTCCCCCTCTCCTTCTTCTTCCCCCCTCCCCCAAAGCTCTCAATTCCAGAAGCTTCAGACCTGCCAGGAAGCTGACTGGGGAGGGAGACCCGGAGGAGTTGGGAAAGGACAGGCTGTCTTCTCCAGTCCCTGACTTCTCCTGTCCCTGGTGACAAACTGGCTGGTAACTTCTCCAAACAATCGCCAAGCTGCCACTCTGCTGGGGGGGGGGGGGGATGGGCCTGGGAGGGGCTGCCCACGCCCACTCCCAGCCCCCTCCCGCCCAGGGTCTGCCTTTAGCCCCACCCAGCCCAGGAGCCAGCCTCCCATTCTGTCTCTGTCCCCGTGTGTCCCCACAGCAGTCACCCTGCCAACAGGTGAGCGAAGCCTAGGCTGGAGAGCTTGAGAAGGACAGATGGGGTTCAAGGAAAGATTTCTCCTGGGGTGGGGTGGGGACTGGAGGGCTGGGGGGGGGTGGCTGGATGGGGGAGGCAGGGTCATGGTGGACCCTGGAGAAGGGGGAGGGGAATCCATGGGGGAGGTGGGAGGGGGGCAGCATAATGCCGAGGGCCAGACTGGGGGTGCGAGGTGGGGGGGACCCAGATGCTCAGGGCTTCCACCAGCTGAGAGAGAGGAGAGCAAGCCAAAAGTGGGGTGGGGTACGCCACAGCTCCAAGAACTGGTCATGGAGGCCCCGAGGACTCAAGGAGTAGAGAGGCAGCGTGGTGAGGGGGAATGGGACCGGGTGGAGGGCAACGTGCGGGGGGGGGGGGGGGGGAGGGAGGGGGAGGGGGAGAGAGGGAGGGCGAGCCTGGCGACTGGGACCTAAAGTTGTCAGAATTGGAGGACTGAAAGGGGACCCCCACTTCCTGGACGAGGGGTGTTGAGGACACAGACCGCGACTCGGGGGAGAGGGGGAGAATCCAAAGCCGGGATGGAAGGAGAAGGGAAACCGCAAGGGCGAGTGGACGGGGAGCCCTGGGCGGGGCCCCCAGGGCGGGGTGGGGACACCTGTCCCCAGCCCCCCCTTCCCCTCCCCACGACCTGAGCCCCCCCCGCCCCAGCTCCTCTCTCGGCCCCGGTGTCCCCGCCGCCCCGCGATGACCGTCACCTACACCGCCCGCGTGGCCAACGCGCGCTTCGGCGGCTTCTCGCAGCTGCTGCTGCTGTGGCGCGGGAGCATCTACAAGCTGCTCTGGCGGGAGCTGCTGTGCTTCCTCGGCCTCTACATGGCCTTGAGCGCCGCCTACCGGTGAGGACCGGGGGTGGGGGCGGCAGGCGCGGGGGTGCGGGGCCCGGGCTGCGCGGCGCGGGGGCACGGAGCGGGAGGGGCGCGCGCGGAGCCGGGGGGAGGGGGCGGGGCCCCCCGGGGCCGGGCAGTGGGAAAGAGGGGACGCGCCCCTAATTCTGCGCCCTTCCACCCCCCTCCCCGCCACCCCGCAGCTTCATGCTGGCTGAAGATCAGAAGCGCTACTTTGAGAAACTGGTCATTTACTGCGACCAGTACGCCAGCCTCATTCCAGTCTCCTTCGTGCTCGGTGCGGTCGCAGCCCTGGGGACTCCTACACACACACACACCCCACTTCCCAAGCAACCCAATCCCATTCATGCCTCACTTACAGCTCACCCGTCCTTGCTCCTCCGACATACGCACCCCTCAAATCCGATGCTCACAGCTCTCTGTACCCCGCTAAGATCCATCCCCTGTCCTCCTGGGGAGCATTCTCACCCCTCCCGCCTCTTATCCCTAGTCACCCTATTTACTCTCATTTATGTGTGCATGAGATTAGTCCCCCTACATTCCAGAGACCTCCTAAAAGCCCAGTAAGAATCCATCCAATGCATTCTCTCAAGCCAACCCTGAAAGGTCATTTCAGGACCCCCCCCCCTTCTCTTTCTCTCCCTGTGGTACTGGGGTTTGAATTCTGAGCTTTGCTCACTCATTCCACTTTTTTTTGCTCACAGCTGGTGCTCTACCTCCACTTCTTGTTTTTTGTGGATGTGTGTGTGTGTGTGTGTATGTGTGTGTTGGTCCTGAGGCTGTCCCTGAGCTTTTTACTCAAGGCTAGCACCCTCACACTTGAGTCACAGCTCCACATTTGGCTTTGCTGGTGGTTAATAGGTGATAAGAGTCTCACAGACTTTCCTGCCCCGGCTGGCTTTGAAGTGCCATTGTGAGGTTTCAGTCTCCTGAGTAGCTAGGATTATAGGCATTAGCCATCAGTGCCTGGCTTGGTTTATTTATTTTATTTTACTATTTTAGTTTTGCTGATTGATTGGAGATAAGAGTCTTACTGATTTTTCTGCCTGTGGCTGGCAAATCCTAAAATCTCAGCCTCTGGAGTAACTAAGATTACTCAGGGAAGCTCCCAGCACCTGGCTGGAAAGGCATTTCTTTCCCAAGCCCTGACCTCAAGCCCCTCCACCCCAAGACTTCATATGACCCCAGTCTCCTCCCTACCACATAAATGGGGTGACCAGCCTGCACCAGTCTACCTGATAGAGTTCCTATATTGAGCCCAAATACAGATCGGGGGCTTCACTCCCAAACAGGCATCCGATGCTCCATCCCAGGTGCCTTCTCTAGTAGCTCCACTAACCTCGGGGCTGGACCACCAACTTCTCAGACCAGGTGGTCAGGATGACCTCCAGCCTGCTCAGATGGCCCCACACCGTCCCTCTTCCACGACTCTGAGGATTCCTCAGCTCCTTGTGACTCTGCTGAGCGCCCCCTCTCCCCATTTCCCGGGTTACCTCCCCCCCGCAGGCTTCTACGTGACGCTGGTGGTGCACCGCTGGTGGAACCAGTATCTATGCATGCCGTTGCCCGATGCGCTCATGTGCGTGGTGGCGGGCACGGTGCACGGGCGCGACGACCGAGGTCGGCTCTACCGGCGCACGCTCATGCGCTACGCGGGCCTCTCCGCCGTGCTGATCCTGCGCTCGGTCAGCACCGCGGTCTTCAAGCGCTTCCCCACCATAGACCACGTGGTGGAGGCTGGTGAGTCCCCGGGGAGGGGCGGGGATGTGGGCGGAGCGACTGGGGGCGTGGCCACGGCTGGGAGGGGTAGAGCGGGTTGGGCCACAGCACAGAGGCGGGGCCGTGGTGGGCGGGGCTAGGGCGAGGGGCGGGGCGCTGAAGGCACGCCCCCTCCAGGATTTATGACCCGCGAGGAGCGCAAGAAATTCGAGAACCTGAACTCTTCCTATAACAAATACTGGGTGCCCTGCGTGTGGTTCTCCAACCTGGCAGCTCAAGCCCGGCGCGAGGGCCGCATCCGCGACAACAGTGCCCTGAAGCTGCTGCTGGAGGTGAGGTCGGCTGGGAGGTGATTCGGTGATTCATGCAGAAAACCCAGGAAAAATGGTGTCCCGGCAGGGTGTCACCCCCCAGCTCAGTTCCGGGCTACCTCTAGATCCGCCATGTCCTCACTCCAGGAGGATACCCCTCACTAAATATTCCGCCTGGAACCCCCAGAAGCCCACTCCCATCTCCCGCGAGGTGACCACCCACGTCCATACAAGTACCCACACTTACTGTGCGCGGGAGGCCATAGTTCAGCGCCCCTTCATGACCTTTGTCCACCCCCAGGAGCTGAATGTGTTTCGGGGCAAGTGTGGCATGCTCTTTCACTATGACTGGATTAGCATCCCCCTGGTCTACACACAGGTAACCTCCCTCTTCTATGCCTTCCTTTATACTCTGTGTCACACGTCTCAAAGGGAAACTGAGGGCCGACAAAAATTCTACCCCTGGCTGGACACCAGTGCTCACCCCTATAATCTCAGGCTGCTCAGAAGGCTGAGCTCGAAGGGTCACAGCTCGAAGCTAGCCCAGGCAGGAAAGTCTGTGAGACTCATCTCTAAGTAACCAGCCAGCAAAAAGCCAGAAGCAGAGGCATGACTCAAACGGTAGAGCTTCAGCTTTAAGGGAAAAAAAAAAAAGCTAAGGGACAGCCCCAAGGCCCTGAGTTCAAGCCCTAAGTACTGGCACAAAGAATAACTTAATAAAACTCCACCTTAGCTCTGCTCTTCCCATGAACTCTAACCTGGCATAACATCCCCCCACCTGCCCCTCAGGTGGTGACCATCGCAGTATACAGCTACTTCCTGGCTTGCCTGATTGGTCGTCAGTTCCTAGACCCAGCACAGGGCTACAAAGACCACACTCTGGACCTGTGTATTCCCATATTCACCTTACTGCAGTTTTTCTTCTATGCTGGCTGGCTCAAGGTGAGTGGGGACCTCTCCCCAGGCCAGAACCTGGGAGGAGATGGCGAAGGAACCTTCTCCAGTCCCGCCTCCCTCCGTTCCTCCCTCCCTCCCGCCCACCCTCCCTCCTTCCCACTCAGGTAGCCGAGCAGCTCATCAACCCCTTCGGAGAGGACGATGACGACTTTGAGACGAACTTTCTGATTGATCGCAACTTCCAGGTGAGCTAGCAAAGCCATCCTGGCCGGCCCCTTTCCTGAACCGCCCCCTCTCCCTTTGGGGGGGAGGGTTCATCCCACCCCGCCCCGCGCGTGTCCGCCTCCTCAGGTGTCGATGCTGGCGGTGGACGAGATGTACGATGACCTGGCCATGCTGGAAAAGGACCTGTACTGGGATGCAGCCGAGGCTCGCGCTCCCTACACGGCGGCCACCGCCTTCCTGCTGCAGCAGCCTTCCTTCCAAGGCTCCACCTTCGACATCGCGTGAGCCGGTGGGGGCGTGGTCCGGGGCGGGGCGTGAGCCGGCGGGGGCGTGGTCCGGGGCGGGGCGTGAGCCGGCGGGGGCGTGGTCCGGGGCGGGGCGTGAGCCGGCGGGGCGTGGTCCGGGGCGGGGCGTGAGCCGGCGGGGCGTGGTCCGGGGCGGGGCGTGAGCCGGCGGGGGCGTGGTCCGGGGAGGGGCGGGGCTTAAGGCCGGTTTATCCGAATGGGAGCCAGGAGCAGCCGGGTGCGGCTGTCTCACGCCTGTCATATTAGCTACTCGCCAGCCCCGGCAGGAAAGCCTGTGAGGCGCTTATGTCCCATGCCAGCCCAAAGTGGCGCTGTGGCTCAAGCGAAAGAGCGTTGTCCTTGAGAGAAGAAAGCTCTAGGACAGCGCGGTCAGGTCCTAAGTTCAAGTTTGCCCCTGGACTAGCGCGCACGTGCACACACACACACACACACACACACACACACACACACACACACACGTGCACGAACCAAGTTAAGGGCTAAAGCTAGAGATACTGCAGCTAACAATCTGGAAACTGTGACCAGGGCAAAGGTTGAGCCGGGGTGAGATAGGGACTGGGGTCACACTTCCTGGAGGGGGGAGGAGGGGGCAGACCTAAAGGATCGGTGAGATCAGTGGGTGGAGAAGTGGGTGGAGCCAGAGGCAGCCTGGTGACTGTCAATCAAGGGACATAGGGACAGCCTTTGAGACCCTGGGTTCCATCGCAAGAAATCACCCTCTCCCACCATATAAAAATAATAAAATAATCAGAAGCAGGGAAGCAATGCCTCAGCGCCGCCCCGTCGTGTCGCCCTCCCCCCCCCGTAGGCTGGCCAAGGAGGACATGCAGTTCCAGAGGCTGGACGGCGCGGACGGCCCCCTGGGAGAGGCGCACGGCGACTTCCTGCAGCGCCTCCTGCCGGCGGGCGCGGGAACGGCCGGGGGCCTGCTGGGCCGCCGCCTGTCCCTGCTTCGCCGCAAGAACAGCTGCGTGTCTGAGGCCTCCACAGCCGCCAGCTGCGCGTGCGCGGGCGCCCCCGACGGCGCGGCCCAGGATTGTGGCTGTGGGGACCCGCTGCTCGATCCCGGCCTGCGGGATCAGGAACCCGAGCTTCCCGCTTGTCCTGAGCCGCCTGGCCCTCTTCTTGGGTCCGCGGCTGATGCTTTTACTACCGTGTCCATTCCTGGGCCCCGGGCACCCGCGCCGCCCTGGCTGCCCAGCCCTATTGGAGAAGAGGAGGAGAGTCTAGCCTGAGACCCTCCCAAAGTCAGGGAACCAAACGTCCACCCTGCATGCAAGCAGAAGTCTGCCACCCATCCCTTTTGTGTCAGTCCTGGGATTTGAACTCAGGGTCTGGCTATTGTCCTCTAGCTTTTTTGTTTTTGTTTTTTGCTCCAGGCTAGCGCTCTATCATCTGAACCACATCTCCACTTCTGCTTTGTTGATGGTTAATTGGAGATGAATCTCACAGAACTTTCCTGACCAGGCTGGTTTTGAACTGTGATCCTCAGATCTCAGCCTCCTGAGTAGCTAAGGATTGCCAGCTTGAGTCACCAGGACCTGGCCCCACTCGGATTTGACCAACCTTCATTCCTGGGTGACCCAGCACTGTGGGAAAGCCCAGGGATTCTTCCTTGCAAAGCTGGTTGCCAGTCATCCATACAGCACTGTGGCCTTTCTGGGCTCTTCCAGCCAACAGAAACATGAGAGCCTTGTTACCAAGAAGAAACTAAATGTAATGATGGCTTCAAAGTATCTGGCCTATAGTAGGTGCTCAATAAACTGTTAGAGAATTGTTTTTTACTCAAATTGTTAGTGTGCCTTCTCTTCCTAGACATTATGAAGATACCAGGGATTGAACCAAGAGCCTGCTGAAAAATAGACACTCTACCATATTGGAGCCATGCCTCTCGTCCTGTATTTTGCTGGCATAGTCTCATGGTCTTTTCTGCCCAAACTGACCTCTAACTAAATCTCCAGATCTCAGATTCCTGAGTAGCTAGAAAACCAGTCTTGAGCCCCCAGCACCCAGCTCTTTCAGGATTTTATTTTTTTTTGGGGGGGGGGGGGTCAGTCATGGGGCTTGAACTCTGGGCTTGGGCATTGTCCTTGTGTTCTTCAGCTCAAGGCCAGCACTCTACTGCTTGAGCTACAATTCCACTTCCAGTTTTCTCGTGGAAATAAGAGTCTCATGGACTTTCTTGCCCAGGCTGGCTTTGAACTGTGATCCTCAGATCTCAGCCTCCTGAGTATTTAGGATGACATGCGTGAGCCACCGGCGCCCGGCTTCTTTCAGGATTTTTTTTTTTGGGGGGGGGGGTCCGGTCATGGGGCCTGAACTCTAGGCCTGGGCGCTGTCCTTTAGCTCTTCAGCTCAAGGCTAGCACTCTACCATATGAGCCACAGCGCCACTTCTGGCTTTTTTCTTTTTGCTTATGTGGTGCTGAGGAATCGAACCCAGGGCCTGGAGCATGCAAGGCAGGCGCTCTACCACTGAGCCACCTTCCCAGCCCCATCTTTCAGGATTTTTTGATGGTGCTGTAAACACTTCTTTCCCATTTTCTTTCCTGTTTTCCTTTTGGCAGTACCAGCGTTCAAACTCAGTACCTCACATTTGCCAGGCAGGCACTCTTCCACTTGAGCCACGACTTCCAAACTTCTCCTGAAAATCTTTCTGAATAAAAGGAGGCCAGGCACTAATGGATCACTCATCTTATCTACTAAAGAGGCTGGGATTTGAGGATCAGTTTGAAGCAAGAGAAAAAGCTGAGATTGGGGTAGGGTGGGGTCAGTGCTGAACTCAGGACCCTGAGCTCCTTTGGCTTTTCCACTCAAAGATGTTGCTCTACCGCTTAAGCCATAACTCCACTTCTGGCTTTTTTTTCTGGTTAGCTGGAAGATTCGTCTGTCCAAGCTGGCTTTCCAACTTTGATTCTCCGATCTCAGCTTCTTGAGTAGCTAGAATTACAGATGTGAGCTATGGATATCCCGCTGTTTTGTCAGTCCTGGGGCTTGAACTCAGGGCCTGGGGCCCTGTCCCTTGGCTCTTCAGCTCAAGGGGAATGCTCTACCACTTGAGCCACAGCACCACTCCCCGCTTTCTGAGTGGTTTATTGGAGATGAGTCTCACTGACTTTCCTGCCCTGGCTGGCTTTGAACCTCGATCCTCAGATCTCAGCCTCCTGAGTAGCTAGAATCACAGGCAGAAGCCACCAGTGCCTGGTATTCTTTTTTGTTGTTGTTGTTAATAAAGAAGCAACTTTATTGAGAAGGTTCCTACACTGTGCTCTTCAGCTCAAGGCGAGTGCTCTACCGCTTGAGCCACAGCTCCACTTCCGGTTTTCTAGTGGTTTATTGAAGATGAGTCTCACAGATTTTTCTGCTTTGAACTGTGATCCTCAGATCTAAGCCTCCTGAATAGCTAGGATTACAGGCGTGAGCCACCGGCACCCCTGGCATCCTGGTATTTTTAGTTTTAGTTTTGTTAGTCATGGGGCTTGAACTCAGGGCCTGGGCACTGTAACTGAGTTCTTTTTGCTCAAGGATAGCACTCTACCACTTTGGACCACAGCTCCACTTCTGGTTTTCTGGTGGTTAATTGTAGATAAGATTCTCATGGACTGGGCTGGGAAGGTGGCTCAGTGGTAGATCACTTGTCTTGCATGCATGAGGCCCTGGGTTGGATTCCTCAGCACCACATAAGAAAAAAGAAAAAAGCCGGAAGTGGCGCTGTGGCTCAAGTGGTAGAGCGCTAGCCGTGAGTTGAAGAGCTGAGGGACAGCGCCCAGGCCCAGAGTTCAGGCTCCACGACCAGGTCCAAAAAAAAGAAAAGAAAAGAAAAAGATTCTCATGGACATTTCTGCTCAAGCTGGCTATAAATCACAATCTTCAGATCTCAGCCTCCTAAGTAGTTAGGATTATAGGCATGAGCCACCAGCACCCAATGTTATTTATTTACATCTTTATTTATTTGTCATACATGGAGCTTGAACTCTGGGCCTGGGTGCTGTCCCTCAGCTCTTCAGCTCAAGGCGAGCGCTCTACCGCTTGAGCCACAGCATGACTTCCAATTTTCTGGTGGTTTATTGGAGATAAGATTCTTAGGGGTTGGCACTGGTGGCTCATGCCTGTCATCCTAGCTACTCAGGAGGCTGAGATCTGAGGATCACAGTTCAAAGCCAGCCTGGGCAGGAAAGTCCATGAGACTCTTATGTCCAATAAAACACTAGAAAACCAGAAGTGGTGCTGTGGCTCAAGTGGTAGAGCGCTCGCCTTGAGCTGAAGAGCTGAGGGACAGCACCCAGGACCAGAGTTCAAGTCCCATCACTGACAAAAAAAAAAAAAAAAAGATGCTCTTGGACTTTCCTGCCCACGCTGGTTTTGAACCATGATCCTCAGATCTCAGCCTCCTGAGAAGCTAAGCTGACAGGTGTGAGCCACCAGCACCCAGCTGTATTTTTTATTTTATTTTTGATGCTGGTGCTAGGCTTTATCTAGCCTCTTCTGCTCAAGGCTGTTGGGCCGTTTCCAGTTCTTATAGTTTTGTGTTTTGAGATGAGGTCTTGATAACTTTGCCTGAGCCAGACTCATACTCTCCATCCTCCTGTCTCCATCTCCTAAATTGGTAGGATTACAGGTATGATCTACCATGCCCAACCCATCTTTCAGAAAAACACAACGAAAAACAATGACAAAAAAAACAAACAAACACTACACCAGGATTATTAGGCATCCACACCTTAGTAAGAATCCAAGCCATGTGCCAGTACTGGGGCTTTGAGTTCTAGCTCAGCTTTTTTGCTCACAGCAGGGACTCTACTACTTGTCCACTACTAGCTTTATCACTAGTTAACTGGAGGTAAGAACCTCAAGCATCTGTCTGCCCGGACTGGCTCTGAACTTTGAACCTTGATCCTCAGATCTCAACCTCCTGAATAGCCAAGATTAGAGGTGTGCACCAGTAGTACCAGGCCCTGTTTATCTTTAAAAGCAATGGGTGGGGCTGGGAAGGTGGCTCAGTGGTAGAGCGCTTGCCTTGCATGCTCGAGGCCCTGGGTTCGATTCCTCAGCCCCACATAAGCAAAAAAGAAAAAAGCCAGAAGTGGCGCTGTGGCTCAAGTGGTAGAGCGCTAGCCTTGAGCTGAAGAGCTGAAGGACAGCGCCCAGGCCCAGAGTTCAGGCCCCATGACCAGACCGAAAAAAAATAAAATAAAAATAAAAGCAATGGGTGTATTAGAAATGACAAAATAATGGCATTTGCAGGGAAATGGATGGAGCTAGAAGGAATCATGTTGAGCGAGGTAAGCCAAGAGCAAAGAGACAAACGGTACATGGTCTCCCTAATAAGTGGATGCTAAATCCAAAATGTTAGGTGATACGACAAAATTAATAGGACTTAAGAAACAAAGAACTTCCACTCATCTGGTCGAACTACTAGTAAATATCCCCATGCTGCTGATCACATGTATGGTGTATATGTGTACACCGTTATATGTTATAGACTGTGATAGACAATTTGCTTCAAGAAAGTTAGAATGAACTTGTGACTTTAAATGAGCATCATTATTCCACAATACTGTGAAATTTGGGAAATTATGTAATCACTTAATCACAATTAAAAAAAAAAAAAAGAACCTCGGGAAAGGTAGGGAGGGAAGCGTTGGTAGGGGGAAAACAATGGAGGGGGTAACAATGCTCAATAGGAAGTGTACTCATTACCTTGCTCATGTAACTGTAACCCTCTGTATAGTATCTTTACAATAAAAAATTAAAAAAAAATAAGAGCAATGGGTGTGAATCCCTTGCCCACTTTCTCTCCCTAACCCTCAGAATCCAAACAGGGTACATTTAAAGTCTTTATTATTCTCAAATAGAAAATCAAGTTCTCTCCCCCAGATAGCTAGCTCATCCACTGGAAGGGAATTAAGAAAAGGAATCACTTTGCTAAAAAGAATTGGGTTCCCGCCACCTGCCCTTTTCCTCCTGGAGCACGGGGCAGCTCGGGATGGCCCAGCTGACGGGGCAGATGGCGGCGGCATCCTGAGGATTGTCAGTGCTTGTCAGAAGGGCTTCGAAGGCTCAGAGACGCCAGACGCCCGAGGGGTCCGCGGCGAGAGTTGGTGGCCAGCCGTTGCTGTGCCAGGAAGGACTGGGCATGCGCAGGTGCCCGCTCTTCCCCAGCTCGCTGCTGCAAGGCCATGCCCTGGAAGGACGGGGAGCGATGGGCCGAGAACAGAACGGTGTGGAGGCCCCTC